AAAAACAAATAAAAAAAATGAAAGGAGAAATTTTATCTACATCGATCACAACAAGAAAAAAAAGTCAAAATCTAGTCCATGCAACAGAAAGGAGATGTTCTGCAAGTACATTACCTGGCTATCTGTAATTGAAATGTCAGCAACCCCTGCAACAGAAATCGACTAAATATACCTGAATTTTTAATTGAATAACAAATTCCACAGAGAAATCAACTCAATGAAATGGGAAACGTACCATCTGAGTCAGCCACAATGTTTCCCAGGTCACCCGCATGCCGCTCGTCATCTAAAGGAGATCCATGATCCTTCTGTAATGGGTTAAAATGAGGTCCTGAACATTGAAGGGGCAAATAACTCAACAAACTCTCTTACGGACTCTTAAAAGCAAAATATATATGCAGGGATCAACTGAATCTATATATATATATATATATAATAAGAATAGGCTTAAATCACATATAGTAATCATTTCCCGCCATTATGCATTAATTACACCCTATTTATATAGTAATTTTAGAGAAGTCTTTATACCAAATCTCGAAGCATTAATTGTAATCAGTTTTAAATTCCATTAACAACCGGAATTACTAATATAAAACCGGTTGCATATGAAATCAAATAATTTAATAATACAATAAAATAAATCTGCTGAATAAATGCAGTAGGACTTTACAATAAACATGGTATCTATACTAATATAATCTGCCGTAGAAATGAGATGGAATATATACCCCATTACTAAATATTATTATTTAATTATGATAATATTTACAACATCCCATCTAAAACATCCACATCTATAAAATAAACAATTAAAGATCACCATGACAATAAACATACTCACGGAAATGAAGCTTTAAACTTAATCATCGAAAATTAAGAATACATCACTAGCATATAAAACATGAGCATAATAATAAATAGAAATTTTATTAATAATAAATATGATTTTATTTTTTTTCCCTAATTACTATGTAAAAATACATCTATCTATATAAAATAAGAATAAGGTTAAATCATTTTTAGAAAGAGTTTCCCACCAAAATCATTAATAACAAACTATAAATTTTATATTCTTTTTAACTGTTTCCAAATAAAAATAAAATGAAGCATTGAATGCATTACATAATTTCAGTTGTTGTTTATCATACCATATTCTCGGTTTTTGATGTAGAAAAAAAAAATTCTAGGATATTGTTTTGTGTACATTTTGTTTATTTAAAATCAAACCATTTTAATGATTTGTTAATCTATTCTTTTATGGTAACAATTTTGTTGAGCGGATTTTTTCTTTTTACAAATTTTTTAAACTCACAAATTAAAAAATGAAATTCCATTCTAATTGTGGACGACATATATATTTTAATTTTTTTTAAAAAAAAAACAAAATTTAAAACTGCAATGGAATTGGACATGTTGTATTATCAGTTTTATCTTTATGATTTTTTTTTATAACAATAAGCCAAAAAATATATACTCAAACAAAACAAAAATGTTCTCAATATTGGAATAAATTTGGTGTAAAAAAATAAGAATGATTGAAAAGAAAAAAGATATACTCCAAATCAACACTTTAAGGTAACAACTTTCTTATATTTTTTAGAAAATTAAACTTCACCGAATAATCTTTAGTGTTTATTATAATATTACATATTTTCACTATAATTTTATTTCGTGGTCACTTGAATAAGTCTTGTCTTTTGTTTGATTAAGTCAAGTTTAGTTTAGTTGATATTTTATCTCCTAATTAGTAGCTGCAAGTTAGTATAGATAATGTCCTATTTTTATGCATTCAGTTTGGTTGTACTACTGCCTATTTAAAGGCTATTTTTAGTGAATAAAGAGTATGATAAACTCTCTCAATCTGTGAGCTATTAGAATTTTTGACAGTGGTATCTGAGCCAGTACGGAAAAATATAGAGAGAGAATCAGCAGAAAGAAATTAGTCCTTCCCATCTCCACTTTGTTTTCCTCTTGCAGTAGCAATGGCAGGAGACAATTTTGTTCAACCAGCCATTCCACGTTTTGATGGTCATTATGATCATGGGAGTATGCTCATGGAGAATTTCTTAAGATCCAAAGAGTATTGGCATGTGGTTTGCAATGGGGTGCAGGAGGCAACAGCTGGCACAGTGATGACAGATGCCCAGAAGACAGAATTAGAAGGGCAAAGACTGAAAGATCTCAAGGCAAAAAATTATCTTTTCCAGGCGATCGATCGTTCGGTTCTAGAGACAATCCTCAACAAAAGCACTTCAAAGATGGGACTCCATGAAAAAGAAGTACCAAGGTACAACAAGAGCAAAGAGGCAGCAGCTACAAGCTCTTCGTTCGGAATTTGAAACACTTCGAATGAAAACTGGAGAGTCCATTCGATTGATGAATTGCAAAGTTCCTTGTTAATTCACGAGCGCAGATTTGATCAGCAAGAAAATGAGAAAAATGAGAAAGAAGAACAAGTTCTAAAAGTCTCAATGGAGAATAATGGAAACAGATCAGCAGATCGTGGTAGAGACAGAGGTAGAGGAAGAAGAGCTCAAAATAACAGAGATGGAGGTGGAGGACGAGGAGTTGGGGCAGACAATTTCAGAAATTTAATTCAGACAGCAATCTGTCATTTTCTCAAGGCCGCGGGAGAGGACGTTACCATGACAAGTCGAATGTAGAGTGCCATAGATGTCATAAATATGGCCATTATCGATTTGAATGTTATACGAAACTACCTCAAGATAAAGGAAAGGAGAAATTGAATTATACTGAGAAGAATGAAGACGAAACTTTACTGATGACGGTCCATGACGGCAAGAACAAGCATGAAGCTAACATATGGTACCTTGATACAGGCTGCAGTAACCATATGTGTGGAAGTAAGTCATTCTTTTCTCACTTAAATGAGGATTACCGCACGACTGTGAGTTTTGGTGATAATTCCAAAATAGATGTTATGGGAAAAGGAGATGTTCACATCAGGACCAACAATGGCAATGTTGAAATAATGTCAAATGTGTTCTATGTCCCTGGCTTAAAAAGCAACCTTCTGAGCCTTGGGCAACTGAAAGAAAAGGGATACACGGTGACAATTAAGAATGGTGCGTGTGAAATCTATGATTCCAGAAGAGGCCTTATCGCTCAAGCCGAAATGACATCGAACAGGTTGTTTCCGCTGCAAATTAGGACTATTCAATGTTATTCAGCAACCAATGATGATCCAATGTGGCTTTGGCATTTTCGTTACGGCCATTTAAATTTTAATGGCCTGAAGACACATCATCAGAAAAATATGGTAATCGGTCTTCCTCAAATTACTCCTCCCGGAAAGGTGTGTGAAGAATGCATCATTGGCAAACAGCATAGGAGAAATTTCCTCAAGGAAAATCTTGGAGGGCAAAGAAAATCCTTGCATTGGTGCATTCGGATATTTGTGGGCCAATAAACCCATGCTCTAATGAAGGTAAAAAATACTTTCTTACCTTCACTGATGATTATAGTCGAAAAACTTGGGTTTATTTTCTTCAAGAGAAGTCAGAAGCTTTCAGCATGTTTAAACTATTTAAGGCACATGTCGAGAATGAAACTAATGAAACCATTAAAATTCTTCGAACTGTTCGTGGTGGCGAGTATTGCTCGAAAGAATTTTCTCATTTTTGTGATGTACAAGGCATTCGGAAGGAGCTTACTGCTACTTATACACCACAACAAAATGGTGTTTCAGAAAGGAAAATCGTACCATTCTTAATATGGTAAGAAATTTAATGGCAAGAGGAAAAGTCCCAAAGTCCTTTTGGCCAGAGGCAATAAATTGGAGTATTCATGTGCTGAATAGAAGTCCCACATTTTCCGTTCGAAACATGACACCGGAGGAGGCATGGAGTGGGCGTAAACCAGTTGTTGATCATTTTAAAATATTTGGCTGCATAGCATATGCACATGTCCCCGACCAGAAAAGGAAGAAACTCGACGACAAAAGTGAAAAGTGTGTTTTTCTTGGTATAGTTGAAGCGTCCAAGGCGTATAAGCTATATAATCTAGTCACGAAGAAAATTGTGACTAGTCGAGATGTTGTTTTTGATGAAAAAAGCACCTGGAATTGGAAGGACGAACAACCAGATCAGACCACCATTCTTGATGAAGAAATTGATGAACATTACCAATCTCAACAGCAACCAATTTCCAGTCATGAAATTTAGCCGAATGAACCTGTAGTAAGTTGTAGCAGCTGAATCTCGCACTCGTCGTGTTCGAACAAGGCCAGCGTGGATGAAAGATTATGAGGTTAGTGGTATTCAATCAGATATTGCTCACTATGCTTTCTTATCGGATTGCGATCCTATTACATTTCAAGAGGCTGTAAATTGTTCGGAATGGCAAATAGCAATGAATGAAGAAATTGAGTCCATCGAGAAAAATCATAGCTGGGAGCTTGTCGAACTTCCAAAGGGGTAGAAATCCATTGGTGTTAAATGGGTTTATAAAACGAAACTGAACAAAGATGGCGGGGTTGAACGGTATAAAGCTCGAATCGTAGCCAAAGGATATGAGCAGAAGCCTGGCGTTGATTTCAAAGAAGTGTTTGCCCCAGTAGCAAAGTTGGATACTGTCCGTTTGATGTTATCTATGGCTGCCCGACATTTGGTTAGTCCATTAGTTCGATGTGAAGTCTGCATTTCTACACAGAGAGTTGAAAGGGGAAGTGTACATTGACCAACCTCCTGGTTAAGTGAAGAAGGGGTGTGAAAATCAGGTCTACAAGTTAAAAAAGGCACTATACGGGCTAAAACAAGCGCCGAGAGCATGGTATAGTCGTATAGATGCTTACTTTACCAAAGAAGGCTTCGTCAAATGTCCATACGAGCACACTCTTTACACAAAACACGAAGATGATAATAAGGTATTGATTGTGTACTTATATGTGGATGATCTTATTTATACCAGTAGTGACCATGTCATGCTGGTGAGTTTTAAGAAATCTATGATGGAAGAATTTGATATGACGGATTTGGGTTTAATGCATCATTTTCTTGGTATTGAGGTGCTGCAAATGTCTGATGGTATTTTTATTTCTCAAAGGAAATATATATCAGAAATCTTGGACAGGTTCATGATGAGGGATTGTAATCCAGTCACTACCCCCAATGAAGTTAGTCTAAAACTCTCGAAAAATGATACTGGTAAAAATGGTGGATTCAACTATGTACAAGCAAGTAGTAGGGAGCCTTTGGTATGTGACATCTACAAGACCTGACATAATGCATGCAGTCAATCTTATCAGTAGATATATGGAGAATCCAACTGAAATTCATTTTTCGGCTGCAAAGAGGATTTTTCGTTACTTAAAAGGCACTGCGGATTTTGGCATTCTATACAGAACAAGTGCAGACACTAAACTTATTGGGTTTTCTGATAGTGACTATACCGGGGATCCTGATGATAGGAAGAGCACTTCTGGCTCAGTATTTTTACTAAATTCAGGGGCTGTCACATGGTCTTCTAAGAAACAGCCAATCGTGACTTTGTCAACCACTGAAGCTGAATTTGTGGCTGCTGCAACATGTTCCTGTCAAGCTAGTTGGTTGCGAAGATTGCTTGACGTGTTGCATAATCAGCAACAAGGGCCAACTCTCATTTATTGTGATAGTAGTTCTGCTATAAAACTCTCAAAAAATCCAGTTTTACATGGGCGAAGCAAACATATACATGGCAGGTATCACTTTTTGCGAGAATTATGTAATGATGAAGTTATTGAGTTGATATTTTGCAGAAGTGAAGACCAGGTGGCAGATATTATGATCAAGCCCCTCAAACCGGTGGTTTTTATGAGGCTTCGAGGCATGTTAGGAGTTTGCTCTTTAGCAAAGATTGGAACTACTTAGGAAGTTATTAATAAAGGGACTACTAAACTGATTTCTGCAGATATCAGTTTAAGGGAGGGTGTTAGAATTCAATAGGTCACTTGAATAAGTCTTGTCTTTTGTTTGACTAAGTCAAGTTTAGTTTAGTTGATATTTTATCTCCTAATTAGTAGCTGCAAGTTAGTATAGATAATGACCTATTTTTATGCATTCAGTTTGGTTATACTACTGCCTATTTAAAGGCTATTTTTAGTGAATAAAGAGTATGATAAACTCTCTCAATCTGTGAGCTATTAGAATTTTTAACAGTTTTAACATTCCGAAAATCAACAAATTAGAGAAACGAGGTGTCTATGCAATTCACAATTTACCAAGTGGAGAGCATCTTGGTAAATATCGATACACAGTTGCCAAGTGCAAAATTATTTTGCATGGAAAAGCAAGGAGGATTTTAATAATGTATGACTTTTTCATGAGAACATTTATGATCACCTATGATCACCTGATCTATTATAACTTATTGATTAATAATAGCCTTCAATTATAAATTTTACCAAAACAAGTACAGCCCGTGCATCTCACGGGATTACATACTAGTTAAGTCAAACAGAACAGGAAAAAAAAAAAGAATCCAAATATGGAGTTAAAGGTGTTAAACAATGAGCTTCATAGATTATTGCCAATATTACTACTAGATATGTTACTCTATTAATAAAGCTTCAAGTTTAAAAGCCCCATTTTTTTTTTATGAGCAACGCTTATCAGAACAAGATTAGGAAAAATTTAACTCTTGATTCAAATGAGGTGAGCATCAGATAGCTATATCAAAGTATAAAAGGAAAATGACATGAGAGTATCAATTACTTGAGAACTAACATCAAAGCACAAACACTTTTTTAGCAACTATCATCATAAAAAAGATGACACTATACATCTCAACTCAATTTCATACTATTAAATAACAGAAATAAGGAAAGGGAAAGAATTGGACCAGTGGAATTGCAGCCATTGGTGGTGTCCCCGAGAGCATGGATGTGAAATCCATGGAGGCCAGTTCTCAGCCCAGTAATCCTTCCTTTGATATGGGTACTTCCTGTTCATCATTGATCAATAGCATTTGTTTGTTATCCTCTAAATCTCCGAAATTGCTCGATCGAGGTTAATATATCGATAACAAGTAAGATAAAAGTGAAAAATTGGGGGAGATGAAAATAACCAGCAGGCTGTTGGATGAAGTTGATGTAGCCTTTGATGTTGTCTGCGCCGGAGATGATTGCCACCGCTTTCACCGTCGACATATTCTTTCCTGCTTGAGCTGGATTTCGAGGTCCTATCACTGTAAGCCGCCAGGAGTAGCCGAGCGGTTGGATATTTTCGATAAGTTATGATGGCATTACTTACTATTATTATTATTTTTTCGTTTACTAATAATATTCATTCATTCATATATTTTTTACTTACTACTTTTTTTTTTCTAAACAAAAATTTAATAATATTTTAATTTAAAATTTATTTTTAATTAAAAAAATATAAATGAACTCGAATATCGTATATATAAATAAATATATATTTATATAAAGTAAATTATCTATTAATATTAATTAAAATTAATAAAAATATTATTTACGTTAATATAATCAGAATTACATTAATTATAATTTTTCTATAAACAAATTGGTAATATCAGTATTAATGTAAATCTCTTCAAGACTGGGCATGAAAAGAAAACGGGCCATAGAACCGACAGCCCAGCTGTAGAGGCCCACTAAAAGCTGTTTCATAAAAAAAAATCTACAACATCGATCATTGTCATACCTTGGCAGATGGGCAGGTGGCACCTTATCACCTATCATTTATTGCTGCTTTTCATCTCGTAAACTTATTCGGACTTTTGGAAATGAAAAAAGATTATAGTTAGGATAGCATCCAGTGTGTGTATAGTAAGGATTAAGGATGAGAGAGATCATAAGCATACACATTGGTCAGGCCGGAATTCAAGTTGGCAATGCTTGCTGGGAGCTTTATTGCCTCGAACATGGCATTCAACCCGATGGTTTGATGCCTAGGTATCATTTTATCCTGTTTTACCCTTTTGCTTATCCTTCTAAAGATTGCATTTTTTATTAGTTTGTAGATCACTAGTAGTAGTGTTTTCAGTATGTATTCTTGCTTGGGTTGTTTCATATTGTATGTTCTTGTTTCATATGAAAGAAAGATTGTCATTTTGCTGAATTAATTGTGTGCTGTTTTGAGATATATGGTCAACTTTACTGATTAATAAATTAGACAAAAATCTCTATGCTGGCGAAAATTACCAACACAGTGGGCAGAGTATTAGGTTTAACTGGTTGATCAGCACTGAATATCCAAATAGACCTTCCTCTATCAGTGGGCAGAGTATTAGGTTTAACTGGTTGATCAGTTACTTGCAAATATCAATTGATTTTTTTTTATATCTTTGTTTGTTTTTGCTTGCAGTGACAAATCCTTTGGTGTGGCAAACGACTCTTTCAACACCTTCTTTAGTGAAACCAGCGCTGGGAAGCACGTACCCAGGGCTGTTTTTCTGGATCTTGAACCCACTGTTGTCGATGAAGTTCGGAGTGGGCCCTACCGGCAGCTGTTCCATCCAGAGCAACTCATTTGCGGTAAGGAGGATGCTGCCAACAACTTTGCCAGGGGACACTACACAGGTACTAGTTTTTTTTTTTTTTTTCGGCACTGTTAATTTCATTTCTATGAATAAAAATATAACGGGGTAAAATAAAATGTTTATGTTTCATACAGTTGGTAAGGATATCATTGACCTTTGCCTGGATCGCGTGAGAAAGTTAGCCGACAACTGCACTGGTCTTCAAGGCTTCTTGGTGTTCAATGCCGTGGGTGGTGGCACTGGCTCCGGCCTCGGCTCTTTGCTCCTCGAGCGCCTCTCCGTAGATTATGGCAAAAAATCAAAACTTGGCTTTACCATTTATCCATCTCCCCAGGTTCTTCTTTTTTTCTTTTCTAGTATATATTACGGCATATATATAATTTGAATGCTCATTGGCGAACAACTGAATTTTCTCAGGTTTCAACTGCAGTGGTGGAGCCATATAACAGCGTTTTATCGACTCACTCTCTGCTAGAGCACACAGATGTAGTAGTCCTTCTGGATAACGAAGCAATTTACGATATTTGCAGGAGAGCCCTTGACATCGAGAGGCCTACCTACACCAACCTAAACCGCTTGATTTCCCAAATAATCTCATCCCTAACCACCTCGTTAAGGTTCGACGGTGCTATCAACGTGGACATCACAGAGTTCCAAACAAACCTCGTCCCGTACCCGCGCATCCACTTCATGCTCTCGTCTTACGCTCCCGTCATCTCAGCAGCCAAGGCCTACCACGAGCAGCTATCCGTCCCGGAGATCACAAGCTCGGTTTTCGAGCCGTCGAGCATGATGGCGAAATGCGACCCTCGACACGGAAAGTACATGGCTTGCTGCCTAATGTACCGTGGGGATGTTGTACCGAAGGACGTGAATGCGGCCGTGGCCACCATCAAGACGAAGCGCACGATTCAGTTTGTGGACTGGTGCCCGACGGGGTTCAAGTGCGGGATTAATTACCAGCCTCCGGCGATGGTCCCGGGCGGGGATCTGGCGCGGGTGCAGCGGGCGGTGTGCATGATAAGCAACAACACGGCGGTGGCGGAGGTTTTTTCACGCATCGACCACAAGTTCGATCTGATGTACGCGAAGAGGGCGTTTGTGCATTGGTACGTGGGGGAAGGGATGGAGGAAGGGGAGTTTTCCGAGGCAAGGGAGGATCTCGCTGCGCTCGAGAAGGATTATGAAGAAGTCGGTGCAGAGGATGCAGGAGAAGATGAGGATGAGGATGGAGTAGAGTACTGAAAACTGCATTCGATTATTAGTAGTCATTGGGTGAGGAGAGCCCTTACATATTATGTGTCGGAATAAATAATGTGACTCTGAATTGTTTGTTTGTTTGTTGGTTGGTTTGATTTTGTGTTACTATATTTATGATTGTGTTATATGGAGTACTCGGATGCAATAAAGAATAATTGGATTCTGAATCATATTTGAACTTCTTTCTTTTTTCTGTACAAGGAGAAAGGAATTAACAAAAGGAAGAGTTTCGGATCGATCATTGGAAGTGGAGAGAGCAACATGAGCTATATTTATTGCAGAGACATGCGCACAGTAATGCTCCATACATCACCAATGTGTACATGCCACATAAACGATGTGCATATTAACATTTGTCCGCCGTAGGTAGGGGAGCATTGTTGGACATGCGCATATTTAAAAGAGGTGGTATGTAAAGTACAGTGTACCTTGTAGAGGCGATGGTAGATCTAGTTAGTTAGAGATGTAAACGAGTTGAGTTCAGAATATTAACAAGACGAATTCAAGTATTAAAATATTGGAAAATGCTAAGTATTCAAGTTACGTTACGGAACCATTCCGTCGGAAGTTGTATTCGTTGTATCATCATGTAATTGTCGTGGATAATTGATTTAACGGTTACAAATTTCGACGAAATAGTTCCATAAAAGGACCATAAAATCTCCCGTAAGTATTAACAGGGTGAGCTATAAAAATTATATGCAAACTTTCTCTTTTTGAGTGTCAACAGGCCTGGCCGAATCGAGTTCCATTCGTTAACTCAAGAAACCCACAAGAGGAAAT